TCCTTACTGAGCTTCCAAGACGAGTAGATGATGTAGCCACGACGGAGCATTCCGAGCGATATACGACTGATGACGTCCGTCCCGAGTAACGCTGAGAGCTATGGAAGATGCCGCTTCATTCCGTTCCGAAAGTGAGTGATTCAGACTCCATGAATCAATTCTAGACAGAAGCCAGAAAATGCTATGACGAATGAGGCAAAAAAAAAAGTTACAATAACACTTAAAATATCACGATGTAGTGGTGTATTCGTAGTAAGCTTTGGAATTGCTAAACAACTCATATTAGAAAAACACTCCACTACATTTAACTTTGTATCCAGGTGGATATGGGTTTTTGATAGACTGCCTCTTGATTGTATTCGTAGGATGGATCTTTTTATACACGTGCGGTTGGCGAGCAGTATCACCGTAATACTTTTGAGGATTCTTTTCGTGACGCTCACTGGTTTGTGTGATGATAACCTAGCTTTGAGACTCAAAGCTCTAATAACGAAAGTTGTTGAGAGTGAGAAACTTAAAAAGGATAGCAACTCTACCTATTGCGTATCTATGCTAGTCTTCAGTGTGCTTGTGGTATATACTACGCTATCAACGAAGCCAACTACCTAATGCGATTGATCGCCGATGAGTGTTTTATCACGATAACCATACAATTTAATACAATATACCTGGTTTGGTTTTTGGCACTTAATTTTATTTGATTTAAATTCTTAAAACAATAAAAAGTACATGGTCAAAGTTAAATTTTCTAGTTCTAAGCTAAGCATTAAATGAAAAAAAATTGCAACATCACTTAAAATATCACGAGGTGGTGATGTAGTGGTAGGTAATCTTTGAAATTGCTAAACAACCCATGTTAGAAAACTCTCCACTACATTTTAATTTGTATCTATACTGATATAAATTATTGTTTTCGACTCATTTGAATGTCTAAAAAAGAATCTATGCCTTCACCGGGAAGTAGGTCAGTATTTTTAATAGATTTAGATTTAACTCTTTATAGTAAAAAACATCACTTGAAAAACTAGGTCAGCGTCAATTGTTCAGTTTTGTGACCTTTGTTAGACAAAAAGACACTTTTCTTGATGGGTTTGGCCTATGCTGACCATCAGTAAACTGTAATTATATTTACCTTCCAACCAATTTATATCTGACTAACTTCCACATGCTACACCATTGCCTCTTCCTTACCGGTCTCATCCAATTACTAAAATGGATTCCTGGTGAGTCTTTGAATTTTTGTAGTCTTCGTGATAATCACAACAACAGAGTAATTTCATGTTACAGGCTTCATATTTGATAACCGGTTTACCTTTGTTTTTTAAACCAGACCAATTATTGGATTATTCTTTTTAAAAAATTGGTATCATCCACATATACTAAACGGAAACTACGCCACGTTATTAATGAAGAACATGTGATATGAGCAAGAAACATACGATTTCAATTGTAAAAGGTGAGGTAGTTACGTTGCCCCCCGGATACGCACACATCAGTCTAAGATAGCGATTGCAATTATACTAGTAGTTTAAAGAAGCGGTGTAACGGTGAGATCAAACTTATTTTAATCTGCCAAGATAACACTCTCTTGACTCTTGAGTATCGCGTTCATGTATATATGAACACTCTCAAAAACAGTTTAGACACTAACGTCCACGTAAGGCATTTAAGATACTATTCACACTTGCTTACATTTGTGTACGTACATATTATTAAATACTATACAAAACAAACAAAAAGTCTAAAAAAGAAGGTTATGGAACACTCTTTATAGTCTCTCTACGTACGTATCATGATACTGTCAACTGATTGTAATTTTTGGCTTTCTCTGCGTAACCAACAAAATGGTCGTGTCAAATCTTATAGAACCGACCAACCTCCACCTCTTCTTACACTCTCACAATCTTATGAGTGTAACTGAAGAAACATTTTTTCATATTTGTCGACTGATTTTGTGACATTAAGTGAAGAAACGTTTGTTCATGAATGAAAGAGAAAGAGAGTGATCAATCTCAATACTCACGGACAAGAAGGCTTTCGACTTAACCTCGCTTCTTGTGTTCCCGTGTACTGGTGGTAGCGTTCGGCGTTCCCTTTAGTTTTGAGCGCAATGGAGCCTCCACTTCCTAATGAGCTACTAAAGAAGTTACTAGAGCTAGAGCAAAGCCACGAGCATCTAAAGCAGGAGATGTCTAGGCTCAAGGTTTCTACTGACCTTACTCAGCGACCACAGTATCTGCCTGAGAGGAGAAACATCGACGAGGGAGCTCCAGCGAGGAGGAAGAGCGTCCCTTCCTCCTTTCAGAAGCAGAAACGTATCCAAGATTCGACCAACTTGAAAGTTGGAGTAGGTAGAGGAAGAACAAGACCATCAGCCACAAAGTTCACTAATAAACAATACTTCAATATCCTGCAGTCAATTTCACAATCTGTTCATGTCTTCGATCTTAATATGCAAATAATCTTTTGGTAAGTAGTTAAGTTCCATCTTCCTGTATTATTATCAGCAGCACAAGGTCCACAAAAAAAAATTATGAAAAACAACTTTTTTTTTACTAAATATTTAAAAAAAATTGTTTCAGGTCCCCCAAAATCTCAAATCCGGCATTATTAACCACATCTCGTATGTGTTCAAATAATACTAATATGATTTGTGACAGGAATGCCATGTCTGAAAAGATTTATGGGTACACAGCTGAAGAAGTAGTTGGGAAAAACCCAGTTGATGTTATGGTAGATGAACAAGATGCTCCTTTTGCTGTAAAAGTTGCTCAACGTTGTATCAGTGGAGAGAGCTGGACCGGCGAGTTTCCTCTCAAGAGCAAATCAGGGGAGAGAGTTTTAGCTGTGTGTACGTGTTCTCCCTTCTACGATGATGAAGGTTCTTTGGTTGGGATCATTTCTATTACAGGTAACACTGAACCTTATATACACCCAAGACTTTCTTTGGCTACATTAAAGGCCAAAGAAAGTGAAGAGAGCTCTAGCACTGGAAAGAATAGTTTTGCTTCTAGACTTGGTTTTGGAACCAAAGGAGCTGGCCTTGACTCTCATCAGCCTATACAAGCTGCTATAACATCAAAGATATCAGATTTGGTTGGTAACTTAGTACTCCCCTCTGTTCCATAATATATGATATTTTCGGCAAACCCACAATTATTAAGAAAATTAGTTTTATTTGAAAAGTATCATAAAAATATAAATTGAAAATTATTCAACCATTTTAAAACTAGGTTATAAAATACTATTGGTTGATAAAGGTAAAAATTACTGATTATATGAAAACATCTTATACACCAAATTAATAATGTTTGGATTACACCAAAATTTTATTTATTTTATTAATTTAGAGAGATATTAATTTATCGATAAGTATATCGAACCAAAAACTCAATTTGGAACTATAATATTATATTATTTTATAGAGATATTTATTGTATATTAATTTATCGAGTATTAATTTATAGAGGTTCTACTGTATATTGAAACATCAAAAACTCACTAAGATATTTTATATTTCGAAACAGAGGGAGTAACATTTTCTTATAAAAATTATTTGATTTTTACATCATATAAGCAAGATCAAATTTAACATTTTACGGATTCTCTCATATTTGATGTTGCATGTTTTGAAGATTAGTGTTATTTTTTGTAGGCATCCAAAGTAAGCAACAAGGTCAGGGCGAAGATGCGAGCAGGTGACAATAGTGCCACACTCTCTGATGGTGTCTGCGGTGCTACTCTTTCTGACAACAGTGAAGATGCATCATCATGTAGTGGCAGCATACAAAAAGTGGATCTTATATATCCTCCTTTTGGTGTATTCTCATGTGATGAAAAGGCTGAGCAAGAAGTTTCAAAAGGAAGGCCAGGTCATTCTGAATGGACTTGGGTACAGAATGAACAAGAAAAAGATAAGTATCAACAGATTAATCCATATTATGATGTTAACTCTGAAAGTGATTCCTCTGATAGTAGTAAGGCATCCAATAACGAGACTTCTAGTATGTGGTCTTCTTCTGTAAATGCAAACAGTACACGCAGCACTAGTACCTGTGGAAGTGCCACCAGCAGGGTTGATACTGAGACTGATTGCCTGGAATATGAAATTCTTTGGGATGATTTGACAATTGGAGAAGATATTGGACGAGGTAACTTAAAGCCATACAAATCCATTGTTTATAACATTTTAACCATTATATGTGATTTCCCATTTTATAGGTTCATGTGGAACTGTCTATCACAGTCTCTGGTTTGGATCTGTAAGTTTTTGGCTTCTAGTTATGTTACAGAATATGTATTTGTTGGTCTATTCATGCCTCCATGATAGTGAAAGAAAGTTACCAAGTTCATTGATCTTTCTTATTAAGAGTTGTTAATGTCACTGCAGGATGTGGCTGTAAAAGTTTTCTCCAAACAAGAATACTCAGAAGAGGCTATGCGATCTTTTAGGCAAGAGGTATTGTTTTTAATTGATTTCTCTAACTGTAGTTAACTAACGTTTAGAATTTTATAAGTTACTTAATATTTGATTACTTGTTTTACTATGAAGGTGTCTCTGATGAGAAGACTTAGACATCCTAATGTACTGCTCTTTATGGGAGCTGTGACTTCACCTCCACGTCTCTGTATAGTGTCAGAGTTCCTTCCACGGTTTGGTCTCATCTCTTTTAGTTACTACAATCACATTTTCTTTGTGCTTCCTCGTCCCTTTAAGCCATAGCTCTGTGCAGTGGAAGTCTCTTTCTTCTACTACGGAAGAGCGCATCAAAACTGGATTGGAGGCGGCGTACTAACATGGCCTTGGACATTGTGAGCATTACTTATAAGTTCATTTGACATATTTTCACATCTCTATGGTCATTGAGAATCACTCATATACATTGATTTTTTTTAATTTTGAGCTGTTCTGTTTGATTGGTTCTTTGTATTTTGTCTTGTAATCCTTGTTTTACATTCTGTAATGACGTTATTATGTGTCACACAGGCTCGTGGTATGAACTATCTTCACTGTTGTAGTCCACCCATTATCCATCGTGACCTGAAGTCTCCAAATCTACTGGTAGACAGGAACTGGACTGTTAAGGTAACATATAATACTTGATACACGTTCGGTTTTAAATGAGCTGGAAAGTGAGACTCCAAACTTGAACTCGGACATCTCTAACAGGTTGCTGACTTTGGTCTTTCACGTATCAAACATGAAACATATCTAACCTCCAAGTCCGGGAAGGGAACGGTATTTAAATCTAAGCTCTTTTCCATTTGAATCTTGATTTTATAACAACCTCTCATAGTGATATTTGATTGGCTTTTTTATCTGTTGTACAGCCTCAATGGATGGCCCCAGAAGTTCTTCGAAATGAGTCTGCTGATGAGAAGTATATTCTTAGTGTTCTGTTTGGTTTAACTTACCTTGATTACTTGTTTTTTTTTAGGCACAGCCATTAATTAGCTTTTCTACTTCTTTGATACAGGTCTGATATTTACAGCTTTGGAGTAGTACTATGGGAGCTTGCTACAGGAAAGATCCCATGGGAAACTCTCAACTCTATGCAGGTACGTTTCTTAACAATGAAACGAAAGTGTCTCCACATGACTTTTGGTCCTAGAGTTTATCTATAAAACTATATGTTTTGCTCTATGTGCAGGTGATAGGAGCTGTTGCGTTCATGAACCAGAGGCTGGAGATTCCAAAGGACATTGATCCTCGTTGGATCTCGTTGATAGAGAGCTGTTGGCACAGGTAACATATGGAATAACCGCATAGTTCCTCACTAGAAAAATATAACATTTAGTTAAATGTTCTACATATTTTCACAGCTAATGTTGACATTAATTTTTGTGTGGTCTCTCCAACATTGCAGCGATACAAAGCTGAGACCCACATTCCAAGAACTGATGGAGGAACTAAGAGACATGCAAAGAAAGTATACAATACAGTTCCGAGCGACACGTGCTGGGTTACTTGACAACTCTCTCCTCGACGACAACTAACACAAAACAACTTTTAGTACCTAAACGCACCGCTTCAAGGCTAAGAGTTTGCTCATAAAAAAAAAAAAAGTGAAGAAAGATAATTGGTCTTGGTTTGAGCAGCAACTATGGCGCCATGGGAGATGTTCATTTGTCTCCTATAGGTTCAAACGTAGTCTTCCTTGTTGAAGTACCAAAATTCATTGAGGTCGACTCTGCTCTCCGACATCTTAAGCAGCAGAAGACAACAACATTGTCATCTTATTTGGATCTTTTTGGAAAAAGGGCAGAGACAAAAAGGAGTTGAGCTGCTTCAGAAATTATATGAATATGAAGCACAAGTAGAGATGTATAGTATAGACTCTCTATGGTCAAACAACCTCGTACTCCACATCTGACCATGGAGACATTAAAATCTCTCTTCGTTGGAAGTGGAACAGATTATCCAGACTGGTTATCTCAAGTGCTTCTTTGTCCGCACTAGGCCTGGGCATCCGGGTCCTCGGGTCGGGTTCGGGCCGGGTCCTGTCGGGTCCGGGTCTTTCGGGTCTTGAAAATTTAGATCCATATAGGTACGTATGATTTTTCGGGTCGGTTCCGGGTCGGGTCTTGCCGGGTCCGGGTCGGTTCGGGTCTTTAATTCCAATACCTATAAAATACCCGTAATTTTCGGATCCATATCAGGTCCGGGTCGGGTCCGGGTATTTAGAGTCTAAAAAATACATAATATACTTAAACTCACTCAAATTCAATCAATATTTTTCATATATTTCTAAAATTTTATAAAATAACTTAATTTAAACTATTATTTATTAAAGAAAACATTTTTAAACTCTAAATTTTACATTTTAAAACTTTATATTACTTAAAAATGTTACAAATAATAATAATTATTGTTAACAAAATATATTTCAACTAAATTATAAAATAGTATAGATATATAAAACATAACACAAAAATAATAGTTTTGGATATACATGTTTATAAGTCGGGTACAAATCGGTTCTTATCGGGTCGGTTCTTTTCGGGTCCGGGTCTATTCGGGTCGGTTCCTTTCGGGTCCGGGTCTATTCGGGTAAAAGAAATCTAGACCCAATAGGTACTTAAAAATTTTCGGGTCGGGTTCGGGTCGGGTATTTTCGGGTCGGTTCCGGTTCGGATCTTCGGGTCCGGGTAAAATGCCCAGGCCTAGTCCGCACTCTGGATATTTATTATCTATGCATTCGTTGTGAATTTACATTACTTTCTGGTTAAGTTCATCAAAGTCCCCCATTTTTGTAATATATTTCACAATATCCAGAAACTAAACGACAACAGTGCCACCTTAGCAAGTTAGCATTTATTAGTGATCTCATCGGTAAGAAAAGAATACCACGAAACATGATTTTAAATATAAAAAGGTGAGTTAGTTGCGTTGCCGATATTTTTGCCGCCATACATACATACACATACATTAGTCTAACATAGCGATTGCAATATTAATGTTACTTGAAGGAGAGGCGATTTCCATTTTCAGATTTGCGATGAACTTCTAAAAATAGTTCTTAATGTTTTTCTTTCTTTCTTTTGCTATGACTTGCCTTTTAAGTTTTAGCTTTGAGAAAAGATTTACGACTTGATAAATATGTTTATTTTACTGTTACTCAGGATAAATACTCTATAAATGTATAAATTATACATCCATGCAAGGATTAAATTATGTTTTTGGATTGTAAGGTAACGTATAAATAGGAACTAGAAAATGTTAGTGGGAATTATATTTATATAGAATTTACTGATTTTAAAAATTGAGAAAATTAATAAAAATTGGAAAGAGTTAATATTTATGTATACTATGAAAATTTATGAAAATAACAAATAATTTATGTGATATATTTAGAATTTACAAATTTTTGTTTTTATGAGTTAAATGGTTAAGAATATACTTGCCAATAACACTAATATATTTATAAAATTATTATCATCTAATTTTTGAAAAACAAATAATTTTATAGAAATTTTAAAATTATCAAACCAATAATAATATGAGAATTTATATTCCAATGGCACTAAACTTGAAAAATTATAACAATCATCATAAATGTAACTCTTATAGTACTAACAGCTCTTAAATAGAAGAAGAATGTAGATGCTCCCCTGATTGTGGATCATAGTTGCGAGTCTTCTTTCTTACGTATCATGTGGTCTTCGTATTTGATTGCAAGTTTTGTTCTTGTCTGCCTAACCAACAATATTGTCTGAGTACCAATAAATTAGGATGACTACATAGTATTAGTCAGATGACACATAGGAACCCAAAAAGCTAGGAATATTCAACATCTGTCCATTTTTTTTATTATTTACTTTTAGATAGTTTACAACAAAAAAAACTTAACTTACAAGAAAACTATAGCTTATATAGAACAATGAAAAAAACTATACATACTTAATTTAGAATGAATCAAATGTTTACAATCTAGTACAATTTCTTTCTTTGTTATTATAATGAAATAGTTAAACCGGGAAATTGAAATCTAAAAAAAAGAAAGAATAATAACCAAGCAAATTAGAAGAAAATGAATAAAGGTAGCAATTATTAAATTAAATAAAATGAAAAAGAATGAAAAGCGAATCAAAAGAAGCAAAAGATAAGAAAGGAAAGTTTCCATAATTGTTGACTGCTTAAAGACCGCAGAAAACGTTTTCTTTCTCCCATCAATTCCATTTTATATTCTCTCTATAGAGAGAGACTTAATCTCATCCACCATGTTTGCTTAACAGTTAACATCTTCTTCAAGCTCCGATTCAACTCGAACGATTCCCTCCCACCCGTTTTAACTCACTCTGCTTCAGATTTTGATCTCCGGAGAGCGTAATGGAGAAGACTCCACCACCTCCTAATGACCTGCTGAAGAAGATACTCGAGCTAGAGGAAAGCCAAGAGCATCTAAAGCAAGAGATGTCGAGGCTCAAGGTATCCTCTGAGATCAGGCAGCGGTCGCATTCGGTCTCGCCGCATCGGCCTGCGAGGAGAAACATTGGAGATGGAGCTCAATTTTGGAGGAAGAGCGGCGCGGCCTCGTTTCGTCACGGTTCGCCGTTGCGTAAGGAGAGCAGCCGTCTCCAGGGTTCGATGAATCTGAGAGGTGGAGGAGGAAAGGGACCATCGGCGGGGAAGTTCACTGATAATCAGTATTTGAATATTTTGCAGTCCATGGCACAGACTGTTCATGCCTATGATCTCAATATGCGAATTATCTTTTGGTATGTAGTTCCATCTTATGATCTCAATATGCGAATTATCATGTTCTGTTAGACGCTAGATAGTGGATTTGATTAGTGCTGAGCATTCGGGGTTTTCAGATTGGTTCAGATTATTTGGATTTCGGGTTATTGCTTCTTGTTATTTGGATTTTGGGGGTTTAAGATCTGTTTAGGAACAAAACAACTTTTAAACATTTTTTTGGATCGGATTAGTTTGGATAATGTCAGGTTCGGGTTGAGTTTCTATTTTCTTATAAAATTCGAAGTGGAACCGAATTAGTACATAGTGTTTGATTCGGATTTAAAGCAAAAAAAAAAAAACCTGAAAACTCGAGTTAAGCTAAAACCAATTTTTTGATTAGTACCGAGCATTTGGGTTCTCGGTTTGTTTATTCGGATTTCGGGGTGTTTAGATACTGTTTAGGAATCAACCAGTTTTTAAGTATTTTTTTTTTGGATAGGATCAGTACTTATAATATCATGTTCGGGTCCGATTTTCTATATTTTTATAATATCCGAAGTAGAACCAAAATAGACCTACATAGGGTTTGATTTGGGTTTAAAACAAAAGAAAAACCGAAAAATCTCGAAAACCCAAGTTAAAATCTGGAAAACCGAAAATTCGGATAATATAGGTAATTCAGGTTTTTCAGATATTCTATATTTTATATATAATGTATTTTATTATTTTTCAAATATTCGAATACATGTTCGGTTCTGTTTTTTTTTTTTTTTTTTTTGATTTAGACAGATAAGAACTGTTTTGTAAATTTTGGTCTGTTTTGTTTTTTTTTCGGTTTGATTTTCGGGTTATGGTTAATATGCCCAGGACTATATTTGATTCATGCATCATTGTTCATTTGTAGTATTTTCTTGTAATCTCGTTATGTATTCAGATTCCAGTTCGATGACGTGATTGTTTCAGGAACGCTATGGCGGAAAAGCTTTATGGGTACTCTGCTGCAGAAGCACTTGGTGAGAACCCAATTGATATTCTTGCAGATAACCGAGATGCTGCTTGTGCAATGAATATTGCTCGACGTTGTGTCTGTGGAGAGAGCTGGACCGGCGAGTTTCCTGTCAAGACCAAATCAGGGGAGAGGTTCTCAGCTGTCACTACGTGTTCCCCTTTCTATGATGATGATGGTACTCTTATAGGGGTCATTTGTATCACAAGTAAAACGGAACATTACATGAACCCTAGAGTCTCTTTGGCTAAGTTAAAGGGGCAAGAAGGTGAAACGAGCTCTAATGCTGCAAGGAATAGTTTTGCCTCTAAACTTGGCATTGACTCTGATCAGCCTATTCAAGCTGCTATAACATCAAAAATATCAAATTTGGTTAGTTCAGTTGTAAGTTATATATTCTCAGTTCTCACCTTTACTCTGCCTATTTTGACTAGTGTTAAAATTGCAGGCGTCCAAGGTGAGCGACAAGGTCAGGTCGAAAATGCGGGGAGGTGACAGTAGTAGTGCCACACCTTCTGAGGGTGGCAGTGGTGATAGTCATCATTCAGATCATGGTGTCTTTGGTGCTACTCTCTCTGACCACAGAGACGATGCAGCGTCAAGTGGTTCCAGCACACCAAGAGGGGATTTTGTCCAGTATCCTTTTGGTGTATTCACATGTAACGATGAAAAGTTACCTTCGAAACCCGTCAAAGATTCCAGTGATAAGACCCATGAGGGTGATGAAAAGCCTGCAATCCATAAGGTTCTAACCTCAAAAGCTGAGGAATGGATGGTAAAGAAAGGCTTGTCATTGCCATGGAGAGGGAATGAGCAGGAGGAAGGTTCAAAAGGAAGGCCAGCTACTCATTCTGTATGGCCTTGGGTACAAACTGATCAAGAGAAAGATAAGTCTAACTCTGAAAGCCTTGCCTTTGAGAGTAAGAAGCCTAAGAATAATGAGAGCAGTAGTTTGTGGTCTTCCTCTATAAGTGCGAACAACACAAGTAGCGCTAGTAGCAGCGGAAGTACCAACAACAGTGTTATGAACAAGGTTGATACTGATAGTGAGGGCCTTGAATATGAAATTTTATGGGATGATTTGACAATTGGAGAACAAATCGGACAAGGTCATTTATTCTCTTACACAGATTATCTCATGACTTCATACTTTTATGTGATTTTCTGTTTTTTTGTTAAGCTAAGAAATGCATTTTTCTATTTTACAGGTTCATGTGGAACTGTTTATCACGGTCTCTGGTTTGGATCTGTAAGTAGTTGGCTTCTGGTGACGTTGTAGAGTATTTTCTTTACTTATATGCGCTCCCATTGTAATGACATCACAGGATGTAGCTGTAAAAGTGTTCTCCAAGCAAGAATATTCAGAAGAGACTATCCAATCTTTTAGGCAAGAGGTATTTTGCTTGTTGTCGCCGCTGGATTGCTCTGAGTGTTGTTTTGGTAAACGACATTTATATTTTTATTGTGAAGGTATTGTTAATGAGAAGACTTAGACATCCTAATGTACTGCTCTTTATGGGAGCTGTCACTTCACCTCCTCGCCTCTGTATTGTGTCGGAGTTCCTTCCACGGTTTGGTCTCATCTCTTTTACTCACTACAATCTCTCTTTTAGTTTCTACAATCTCACTTTCTTTGCAGTGGAAGTCTCTTCCGTCTACTGCAGAGGAACACGTCAAAACTGGATTGGAGGCGGCGTATCAATATGGCAATGGACATTGTGAGTATTAGTTATACGTTCAGTTGACATGTGGTTTTTCCATTTCTATGATCCTTGAAGATTGCACGTAGACAATTTTCTAAGGATGAGCTGCTTAATTTGGTTATTTCTTTCTATTTGTCATTGTGATCCTTCTTGTACATCTCATCCAGCATATATCATAATTCTTCACACAGGCACGCGGTATGAACTATCTTCACAACTGTAGTCCACCTATTATCCATCGTGATCTGAAGTCGTCAAATCTGCTCGTTGACAAGAACTGGACCGTTAAAGTAAGATATTCATCTTGATATGTTAATATCCATCTTAGCCTTCTAAAAAAAAATATTTGTCTGAGTGAACCGGAAAAGTGAGACTCATACCTGCAACGAGAAACATCTTCAACTTACAGTGAGACATCTCTAATAGGTAGCTGACTTTGGTCTTTCACGTATCAAGCATGAGACATACCTAACCACCAAGTCCGGGAAGGGAACGGTACTTAAGCTCTTTTATATTTGATACTTGATTTATATTCAGCCTCTCACAATGATCTTTGATTTCAATTTTTACCTGTTCTGCAGCCTCAATGGATGGCACCAGAAGTTCTTCGAAATGAGTCAGCTGATGAGAAGTAGATTCTCAGTATTCTGTTTGGTTAAATTCTCTTGATTACTTGTTCTTCTAGCCGTCAATGCTAACTAGCTCTTCTTAATGCATTGCTACAGATCTGATATTTACAGTTTTGGAGTAGTACTTTGGGAGCTTGCCACAGAGAAGATCCCATGGGAAACTCTCAACTCTATGCAGGTATTACTTTTTTTTATAGATAGGGCAACGAAAAGAAAGTGTCTCCAATTTCTGACTGGTCATAGAAATGTCAAAAGATTAGTTTTATGGTAAACCTTCTCCATCTAATTCGTGTCAATACAAAATTAATTGTAAATTAGGAAGGTAAGAACCATAAAAAACACTATACTAATTTCCATGGCACGACCATTCTGCTTCCATTTTCAGACTCGCTGCACTTGCCTACACATACACAAACCAAATATGAAGAGATGCTTATTTGAAAAATGTGCAGGTGATCGGAGCTGTGGGGTTCATGAACCAGAGGCTTGAAATTCCAAAGGACACTGATCCCTTATGGATCGCATTAATGGAGAGCTGTTGGCAAACGTAATTTAAACACCACATAATCCTTACGAGAAGAATATAACCTTTAACCTTGATTTAGATGTTTCTACATAATTTAACAGCTAATGCTGACATCAGGTTATGTTTTTTTGTGTGTCTCAAACACTGCAGCGATACGAAGCTGAGACCCACATTCCGAGAAGTAATGGAGAAGCTAAGGGAGCTGCAAAAGAAGTATTCAGTACAGTTCCAAGCTACACGTGCTGCCTTACTTGACAACTCAGCGGATAACTAAACAAAAGTGTACTCTTTTGTTACTCAAACCGCTGCTTTAAGACTGAAAGATGTTCTTGAATACAAAGGAAGATAGATAATTTTCTATTTTTTGAGCAGGAACATAATGGTTGGTTGTAATTATAACGTGGAGTAGACTCATGAGCGGAGGCAGCCACTGGAATTTTTGAACTGGTAATTACACATTGCCAAAAGAAACATAAGGCTCACTTTGGGTATTGAAGTTCTGATGATTGGTGGAGGCTTAAAGGAATTGCGTGAAATGGATTTGATGTAAAAGTTGATTGCAAAGATGTCACAGTATGTTGGGTAGGTGTGCAAGAGTGTATACTTTACTGCATATGCATTATGTTTATTTGCATATTCCCTTATCACTATTACATATGTATGTGATCAATTGGTAGAACCATTTGATGGTTTGTACATAGAGGATAAAGGAGTAGTAGTTATGAGAGAATATGCTAACATCATTGGGATTTTTTGTTTTACTATTTCCAGAGCAACCATTCTTTTGAGGGATTTATAATCAAGGAAGAGACTGATTCAGTATTGAAATTTCAAAACTCAGTTAAATATTTGGATACATTTTCTCAAGCTCTCAAATCTCACACACAATAAAAGAACTTGCTAGCAAAGCTGGTAGTGGTTCGATCAAAGAGGATAACGTGAAAGCAACTCCCTAGTTGCAGCAACTGCATCGCCTTTGTGCTCCCTTAGAGTCCTCTCCACCACATTCTTCTCCAGCTGCTCTCATAGTTTACAAATGTTCACAGACAGCCACAAGATTTAATGAATGTTTAAGGAAGTAGAAGCTAACCTCGAGTTCATTAACAATGAGCTCAACATCTGCAGCATTGATCTTAACAGAAGCCAGTTCCTTCTCTCTGCATATAAAATTCCAGCAACTTGTCATTTAAACACTACACAAAAGGATGATATGTGAAAACTCTACTCCTCCTATTTTCACATCTTCATCAATAAAAGCTGTTATTGACCGTTACATCACATCATACTAAATACTATGTAGATGTGAGTGATGTGAATAATCAAAATGATCATTATGAAATGAAAATAGAGCTATGTAATGCATTCTTCAACTTAATTTTGAATTAAGATTGAGTAATGTAATCTCCTCTTCAAGAATTAAATTTAAGACTTTTTTTGTTACCTCAATCTCTTAGCATTAAGATCAGCCTCCCTAGAAGCACCAATCGAAGCCATAGCCTAAAACACGATATTAACCTTTTGTAAGCTCAATCATTTTTTCACTTCACTGAGCTCAAAATTTAAGACTAATCGGGGGACATGATAATTCTATGTAGATGAAGAAAGAGCAAACAAACCGATTGAACACGATTAGAATCGAGCTGGCGATCCTCAACGCGATCGGTAAGCTTGTCAAGAGCTTTGCTCTGTTGCTGTAAGTCCTTTGAATCGACCATCATCTCAGCTCCAGCTTCTTCTGCTCCCTCCATTGCTTCTAACTCTTCTCGTGAATCAAGTCTCCGGCTACAAAGAGATTTTGAGGTTCGCTAGTGTTTCAAAGCTCCAACGTAAGAAAGAAACCCTAAAGGCTAAAGAAAACCGAATCAAACCGAACTAAATTGAAAACAACTTTGACGGTAACCAAAATCGAACGGTTTAGTAAACGTTAATATTGGGCTGGGCCTTTATATCTAGCGATGACTCTAAGCCCATGGAAATAGCCTATTACAAATATCTTTCCTTCGCAATTTCGAAACCTCACAAATTCGAAAACGCTCTGGAGAGAGAGAGATGAAGGAAATTCAAATCGCCAGGAAAAACTTTGCGCGCTCATCTGATCCCGCGACGAAGAGAATCATCAAAGATCCCGAGCTCAAGAATCGAAAGGTAATTTGAACGTTTCAATCCTTAAATCTTATTTGTTTCTTCTTCTTATTCTTCTTCATCAATTCTAATCACATTTCCTCCTCTACACTGAAGTTTGCGGAGAAGAAACAGAGCGCAACCGTCTCCTCAGCTGAAAACACGAAGGAACCATCGGATTTCGCTCCGATCTATTTCGCGATATCCGATTACGAAGCCGAGGTACGTTTCGAACCTCCAGATCCGTTTATAGCTTCAGATCTTCGGTTTTGGTTAGCTTGATTGAGGCAGTTGTGAGAGATGATAAGTGTTTTTGAATTGCGTTGTTTACCTCAGAGTTTTCTGCAAGGATCGAGTGTAGACCTCTTACCAACGGCAGAGGTTTGCGACGAATCTCCAGTTTCAACCGTTACTAATGAGAATTTACACATCATCGACGCGATTGCTGCGGAGTTGCCTGCTTCTGTGCACTCCTTGCGCGCCGAGATCACTGACCTGAAGAACATGGTTTACTCTGTTAAGAGTTTTGAGGAAAGTAACTGCATCGATGGATCTATTACTCTCAGACTCCGCATTGTGACTTTCGCTTTGGTACTTTGGGCTCTCTTTGCTGCGGTTGTTGTTTCCGTTAGCTCAGGAGAGGAGGTTTCTTACTCTGGACCGTTTCCAACTTGAAGGATTCAACTCACCGTTCTATGAATCGTAAGTTTAACTCACTTTTCCTTTTCGTTAAATGATGATGATAATGCTGATTCGCTTTCAGTAACTCATATATCACTCTTCATTTCAAGTTGTATGAGTATCTATCTTAAGTTGGCTAAGTAGTATCTCTAGGTCAATGTAACCTATTTCAATCAAGCAGTGGGAGGTTTCTACCTAAAGGATAACAGTACAGTTCTATTTTTAGAATTCACACATCTCTTTGAATAATTGATCCACACAGACATCTTAGTGAGATTTTATTTGGTAGAGTTTCAAGCTTCCTAGGCCTTGTGATATGAAGTTAAAAATTTAAGATGCTAGGCCCAGAGCAAGTGGTCTTACAAGATCCGTTGGTAAGTTGATGACTGTTAGTCTACAAGTAGGCCTTATAAGATGATGGTTAGTCTCATTCCTAAGTCCTAACCAATGAGTGATCCCTTACGCTTTATTGGCGCAAGTGATATGACATTTGATCTTGTAGTCTTGGTGACTCGTGTTGGCTAAATACATAGTCTTTTCTGCATCACATATCTAATATATAGGCTTCTGTAGCATTTTTGTCTCTAGGTCCTAATCTACTTTGATGTTTTCCATTTTTAGCTCTGTTATCATATATTTGGCATGCTTGTTTTCTTCTGCTTCTCAAATTGGTAAGTTTTAGATCTTACCAAGACATGTGCTAGCCTTTGTTACTATTCTTATGCTAAGCTGTTTCTTTCTTTAAGCCAGACAAATCCAATGCAAAGTCCAGCCTGTGAACCTTTTTGGGTAATTACTTGATTTGATGTTATTTTATAAATCTTTTTAAGGATAAACAATTGGAGGTGTTAGGTTAGGTTTCTTCTCTGGTATAGATAATGATACAAAGTATTAGGATATGGAAACTATTCGTGTATTCTTATAAAAAAAATAAGTGAATGACAGAATAATCCAGACTATGTTTGGTTTGTCTACTGGAGACTATAGTAGTAGGCCACTAAACAACATAAAAAAACTAATACATGCCATGTGTTAAAGAAAATGAGCTCTTGTTGGTTTACTTTTGAAGTAAAGTTAATGTGTGGTTAAAGGAAAATCAGAGCCTAGTGATTTGAATTAATGGACACCAATTACTAGAGATGTATTTCTTTTCTCTTTTATCAAAAATAAAAACATCGATCTTATCCTTATGTCTTGACCCTTGACAGTGATTAGATCATGGATGACCATATTTATATTATATGCAAACGGTCGGTATCAGTTTTTCCTTCACGTAGCATTTGGCTGAATAGTGATTCTTTGTGAGAAACTGAGTCTTGTTTTAAAACTTCGAGTTCTCATTAGCAAATAGGTGTTTTTCACATGTATAAATTCAGCTTACCGACTCACAAAAATGAATTTGTCACTGGTTATCTCAAGTACCTGTCAGGTTTGGTCAATTTTGTTTTGTTTTGGGTCAATTTTGTTGGTAAACCAATGATAACAACTTAAAAGAGTTAGGCTTCAAAATGCTTATAATTTAGTCTACGTAATATAACAATAATCATATTTGTGCTCTTTAAACAGGAGTTTGGGTCCTATCGCTTAGAAATCAGGGACCAAAAACTCAACTACTTATTGGGAAGTTAAGTATGTAAAAGGTGGAAGCATATACATATGGAAACAATTCTACAGATAAGTATTTCGTATTTGTTCTCTGAACAGTGTTGAGTTGATATTACTAATTGATATTGGCAACTTTAGTCTTATTTAGTCGTTAATAATTGAGAACTATATGTTATCTTAAGAAAGCCCTTTCAAAATAATTGTTATCTCATCAATACTTCACTTTGTTCTCGTTAATATTAGTCCATATCCACCCATTTGACATTCACTTATGTTCTTTGGGTGTTCAGAATTAGGGAGGCAATATATGTGCCACCTTCATCATACTTAATGGTTATTTCTCCTTCTCTATTCACTTATTTCTATTGATATAGAAAAGTTAGAAATAAGAAGAAAAAAAACATATTAGATTAGTTACATACTACATTGAACATATATATATATAGCAGAAACTAAAATAATATGTTTATTTATCTAAGAAACCGTGTTATTTTTGGTTTTAGATTTCCCTAGATTTTTAAAACCAGTTTTCTTTTATTTTTTAACTTATAAAATCTCTGTGAGTCCTCTGTATAATACTAAAAATGGTACAATTATTCCTCATAAACTTCATGATTATTTCAAAATTAGTATTTATTCGGTACATCGAATGATAGATAGGCAATCCACTAGTATTTATATATGTACAAAAGCATAAAATGAACGAGCTGATTAATGATCTTTACAGGCAAAAATAGTGAGACGAAATATGAGAAAGCCTTAAAGTGAGGTAAACCCCCACATAAAATATGCATTTCGTTTTGGTATTTTACTTTAGGTATAAAGTTATAATTTAAATACAGCTGTAGTAATTTAAGAAATCATTGCACTGAATACAAAATCCAAAGTTTGAGTTATTGGCCCCTCTCTCATGCCTTCTCAGTCCATTAAACGACTACTAAAAGACACAAATATATTTCATCGGTTGTTTTACACGGCGTCATCCCATTTGAATCTCTACTTTGCTCCTCCATTTTACCAAAGAATCGACCTTTATGACGCATATAAACACTAGAGTCCTTGTAGCATTTCAATTTTCTATAGCTGTATTCAGTTTAACCTGTTCTGGTTAATTACATCCATCTTGTTTCCTAAACCTTTAATGCCTCTTTTTATTCTCTGATTATGTTAAATAATGGTATAAACGAAACAGAAACCATTCTATATACTATAGTGAATTTACTTTATTTGAAAACAGTATCATGTCAAGATGTTGAAAAAGCTATGTGACAATATGTCCTTAGTTGACTGTCTATCTTGAGATTATGGATAATGAGTCATATGATTGATCGAGTAAAACTTTTTTTTATTACTTCCTTTGTAATATCTCTGTTAATAAAGTAATACATTTGGATAATTTTTCAAAGCAGACCAAAACATTGCTTAAAGTCACACTAATGTCTTCAATAATTCCATAACCATGTGCTCTAATTATCACTTTTCATTTTATGTAAATAAACAAGAATATAATAATCAAAACGATGCCGTTTGGTAACTGCCTTCCTTTATATATCTTCCCTCTCTCCACCCCTTTTCCTTCCATTATCAGAATCAAAAACTCTGATCATGGCGTCTCTGATCTCCGATAATGAACAACCGTCGATGACTATAAACCCAAACTCTACAGCTCACGTTCGAAAGAAGAAGAGATTCTCTTCTTCCTCCCCTTCATCGTCTGCTTCCATATCAACCGAGAGCCACCCGCGATGGAGATCGGAGAAGCAACACAGAATATACTCCGCAAAGCTAATCCAGGCTCTGAAACAAGTCCGCCTCAGCTCCTCCTCCTCCGTTACATCATCTCCAACGACTCATACGCGAGGAAAAGCCGTCCGTGAAGCTGCAGATCGCGCTCTCGCCGTTTCCGCTCGTGGGAGGACGCTATGGAGCAGAGCGATCCTGGCTAATCGCATCAAACTGAAGTTTCGGAAACACAAACGGCCACGACAGACGGTCATACCAGCAATGACCACGGTGGTCACAACGGGAACTAGCAGAAATAAAAAACGGAGAGTGTCGGTGGTGAGACTGAATAAGAAGAGTATACCGACGGTTAACCGGAAAGTACGTGTTCTAGGCCGGTTAGTTCCGGGTTGCAAAAAAGAATCAGTACCGGTGATTCTAGAAGAAGCGACAGATTACATACAAGCACTGGAGATGCAAGTCAGAGCCATGAACTCTCTAGTGGAGCTTCTCTCCGGCTCGGCTTCTGCTCCTCCGCCGATTTGATGAGGTTAAATTTGTCATTTGCCCATATTCGACCTTTTAAATCTCTGTGTACACAAAAACTTTCATATATAAATTGATATACAAGTAATAATATGTTACTATATAGAAGATGTGGTTTTGAGTATAATTTGTGTAAACCAATCATCTCAAGTGCTGAATCTTATCGGTTATTACTAATTAACGATATCTTTGCCATTAAGATTCGAACTCCGACACTCCGTAGTGGATTAGATTAGTATTAGTTTTGATTAATATTTAAGTTATTGCGGTCGGTGGAAATGGATCTTTAACCTTATAATATAATAAGATATGATACCACTTGAAACCTACTTGGAACTTTCGGTGTACTTTAATCCCACCGATCCGATATGGCATGTACTATATTGTCTTACGTACTATATATGTGAAATTCAACAAGAAAATATTTTTGTACTGCCATAAAGTGGAAGTAGGGATAGATATTTGTGATTACTAATAGTAAATAATAGGTTCTTATGTTTTAATTGTTGAAATAATTGAGATTTAGTGGATTACACGCTTATGTTGATTATGCATAGTGATGCATTAGCAGGCCCGTTTTTGGCCATGTGCTCGGTGCATTTGCACAGGACCCATTCTAATTTTTGAGTTTTTTTAGCTTAAATTAGAGTTCATTTTTTTTAAAAAAAAAATTACATAGACAAATTCTACACAAATTTTGTTTTAGCTCAGGGCTCAATTTTTATTTGAGACGGACCTGTGCATTAGAGAATGGTTAATGCGTTGAATGGTGCTACATATTTGTCACTCAATCATCTAGTCACTTTATTGTATGCTCCCCCTTTCTTGTGTCCTCTTAATCTTATACATACTCTACAAGTTTGTTTTGTCCGTCTTTTATTGTCCCCAAGCTGATGTTACCACAATATTAGACTACTAATTGTGATCGTTTTTAATTCTCAAAACCTCTATGTCATGGTTAACCTCCGAGACCCCATATTACAAATAAAAGCATTAGCTAATTCATGATATTTTCGAAACATCAAAATAGTGTATGTAATTTACTTATTTTCCTTGGCCCCCAAACAAAGTTGACTAGCGAATAGTGTAAAGTTGTTACGTACGTTCATATTATTTCTTCTTTCTCTTTCAGAAGCTAATTATTGTAAAACTCATTGGAGTAACAAATTCGATATTTGGTGTGAGAAGAAGAATCATTGATGTGAATTTATACCAAGTAGCAACGAAATAGAATATGTGGTTGTTGTTTTGTATATTACAAAACAATATAGGAAGAAGTAGAACACTAATGAAAGTAAGACTAAGCGAGAAAAATAAGGAAATGACAAAAGCGAAATATAAAAAAAAATGTAGAAAGTGACTTCAAAAGTATGAAGATGCACATGGGAGCGGTCATATCTTGTCATCTTCCTTCATTTTTTAGCTTCCTTTTAATTATCTTTGCAGGAAAACTCTTTTGATTTAAGCTAGGTGAATAACTCCTTCCTGCTTTCGAAAATTTATAATGCATAGATCGCGCTGAAGTGTTCCATTTAACTCATGTCTCTTGCATCATTCGTAGGATATGTCAATATATCGTCCACGAAGTAAACACACTTGCTAGATTAACTTGAGAGTTGTTGCAGACTTTTATGCAAAGATTTGCAGACAAGGAAGACATGAACGAGCTTCTGAGTGAAGAAATTACGTGTGTCAAGATCTCCTTGATAATTGATATTAACGACTTTTTTTAGGAAGTGAGGCATTTTGCTAATTGAATTTTGTTGTAGATATGATCGATCTTAATCTCTATATATTATAATGTAATTTATTAGGAAGTATCCTTAAAGTTGATGAATCTCCTTCACACGTAATGTATATATTTTCAGATATTCAAGGTCAAATTATGGATTTTTTTTATCAACCAAGATTTTCTTTCTTAATTCAACCATAATCTTAATCACAGTTCATCCTAATCCCATTAGTTGAAATTGAATAATCCATAACCAGTCCCCTGGTTTATCAAACCATGGAACAGTTAGTGTATAAAAAGAAAAATTTCTAATAGTGGATCACGTTTCTATAAGATAAGTCTATTGCCAGATATTCAAAAGTTGAAATTGTAAATTCGTATAAAATAATATGTCCAACTTGTTCAATATTTCTAGATGACACGAAGTTCATAAAACTTTTCAATAATTAACGTCATTCATTTGTATAATTATTATCGGAAAAATTGAGCAAATCCCAAATGAGAAAATTGAACAAGAATCAGTGTAATTATCCAAAGTTATGGATAAGTAAGATACGTGGATATTCACAGATATTTTTTTTTTCAAAGATATTCGATAAAACGATCTTCCTTAACGGATTTAAAGAACCATTAAATAAGATCGGTGGGGATATTTATACATTTCCGTGACAACTGTGAGATCCGATTGGGAAACTAATCCAGACACTAGGAAACGATGACGGCTAGGGTTTTGGGTGGTGATTCTCGTGCGGTGAGTGGCGTAGGGCAGGATGTGACCATGGAGGAGAGCGGAGAGAAGGGGAGACCGCCGGGAGATCCACCTGATGCTCCAGGTTCTTGGGTGAGGAAGGTAGTGGGATGTAATGAGGGAGGGATGCCTGTTCCGGAGGAGATTGTGGAAGAAGAGTTTGTGGAGTCGAGGTTGAAACTGGAATTTCCGAACGGTGAGGATGGAGAGCCGGTAATCACTATAGGAGAGGAGGTTTTGACAGCCATGAATAGCTTATGGAAAAACTGCATGATCGTTAGGGTCTTGGGGAGGGTGGTCCCATTGTTGAGTTTGACCCGAAAACTGAAGGAACTATGGAAACCGGCAGGTTCGATGTTCGTCATGGATTTGCCACGTAACTTTTTCATGGTACGGTTTGGTTCGGAGGAGGAGTACCTGAGCGCCTTGTCGGGGGGACCATGGAGAGCTTTCGGAAGCTATCTTATGGTTCAAGCATGGTCTCCGGACTTTGACCCGCTGAGAGATGAGATAGTTACGACACCAGTATGGGTTCGACTAGCAAATATCCCGGTGAATTTCTATCACAAGACGATATTGATGGGTATTGCTAGAGGATTAGGGCGACCGCTAAAGGTGGACATGACGACACTAAAGTTTGAGAGAGCTCGATTTGCGAGAGTATGTGTTGAGATAAATTTGAATAAGCCATTGAAAGGGTCAGTAATGATTAATGGTGAGAGATATGGCGTGTCGTACGAAGGAGTCTCAACCATCTGCTCGATTTGTGGGGTATACGGACACTTAGCACACGCATGCCCTAAGAAGCCGACAGTGAGAGAACATGGCCCGGAAAATATGTTGGTGCCGAGGAATCAAGGAAGTAACGAGAACCCTGGGAAGGAGCACGAGTTTACCCCAGTGAGACAAGAGAGGAGAAAACCGGACCAACGAATTTATGCAGGAGAAGGCAGTCGGGGTAATGGGGAGAGAGAAGGAATGGGAAGTAAAAGTGGTCAGGGGAGAAGGTTACAAGAGGGAAGGAACGTGGGAGTGAAGGAGAGAACACAAGTCACCAACAGGTTCGAAAGTCTTGGAGAAGAAGAAGTGGTGGAGGAGACAAGTGTGGAGAATGACGAGATGGGAGAGAATAAGGAAAATGAGAATACAATGAATATAAAGGCAACGAGCGCAGGTCGGGGGGTCGGGAAGGCTGTCACTTTTATGGCTACAGAAAAAACTGGAATCAAGCCGGCAAAATATGTTGGTCAGAATGATAAGAAAAGTGATAGTAATCGAGGATTGAAGAATATGAAGGGGAAATCGAGAAATACGGGACCTACGCGTGGGCTAATTTTTGGTCCAGCAAGAGGGGAAGGAGGGCTATCGGAAAGTGGTAAAAGACTTAGAGTGGAGACAGAGAATGTTGGTAGACCTGGAGGTGCTTTCGCGGGTGCCACGGAGTCTGACAAGAATGTTGCGGTACCCAAACAGATGAGTGTCCAGAAAGAGTTACATATACAAGATGTAGCTCTAGTACAGGCCTCAGTTCTGGAAGCCGGAGGGGGGAAGGAGGAGAAAGCTCCAGAGAGTGTGGTGGCATAACATTTTGCCCCGGTGATTCTTTTCTTTGATTATATAAATCCGATGAAGTGCATTCTATGGAATTGCCGGGGGGCAAATAAACCTCAATTTCGTAGATCGATCAGATACTTGGTAAAGAAGTTTAAAACAGATATCCTTGCAGTGTTCGAGACGCACGCTGGGGGAGAAGCTGCGAGTAGAATTTGTCAGGGGATGGGGTTCGGTAACTCGTATAGAGTGGACGCGTGTGGACAGAGTGGTGGTTTGTGGTTACTATGGAGACAAGAGCTAGGAGATCTGGAAGTGGTGCAATCTTCTGATCAGTTTATTCACGCTCGGATTGGTACCGGGGCAGAGATAATTAATTTGATAGTTGTTTATGCCGCGCCTACTCCAAGCCGTCGGAGTGGTCTTTGGGATGCCTTAGGTGAAATCCTGACGAACGTGGAAGGCCCTGTGTTTATTGGAGGAGACTTTAATACTATTGTCAGACTTGATGAGAGAAGTGGCGGGAACGGGAGATTGTCGGAGGATTCTCTATTATTTGGAGACTGGATTAACAATATGTCCCTTATTGATATGGGATTTAGTGGGAACCAGTTTACGTGGAAGAGAGGGAAGACAGAGAGTACCTTTGTCGCAAAGAGATTAGACCGAGTATTATGTTGTGCACAAGCAAGATTGAAATGGCAAGAGGCAAAGGTCTCTCACCTACCGTTTTTAGCCTCCGATCATGCTCCGCTATACTTGCAACTTACGCCAGAGGTCAAAGGTAACGCCTGTAGAAGACCGTTTAGATTCGAAGCGGCTTGGCTTCAGCACAATGAGTTCCAGAATCTGGTAAAGGCGTCCTGGGACCGAGACATTGATACGAGAGAGTCTTTGAGAAGGCTGGGTGTAATTTTACGGAAGTGGAACAGGGAAGTGTTCGGAAATGTTCAGAAGCGTAAGGAGCAGCTACTTTTGGAGATTAAAGAGATACAAGGGAAGCTCGAACATGATCGAACGGATAAAATGTTAGCAAGAGAAGGTGAGCTGTTGAAAGATCTCGATACAACTCTGGAACAAGAGGAAGTTATATGGTTTCAGAAGTCTCGAGAGAAATGGGTTGTACATGGAGAGAGGAACACCAAATTTTTTCACATGTCAAC